AACGCCTGCAAACTACAAAGCTCGTTTCATCACTTTCGGTTGGTAAATATTAGCCATTCACTTTGACATACGCTACTGCTGGAAGGTCCTATATGTTACCAATTTGAAGCTAGCAACAACCACGAACGGAACTTTTGCATTCCTGTTTAGACATCCACTCAAACGGATTAGAGAGGCTTAATGCTAAGAATATATTGATTATTTAACAATCGCCATGCGAAACGTACAAAGCCTTCACCGACGCGCTTCCTAGAGTCCAAGCTACTTCTGTTGACGCCGGTACTGCCGTCAAGTTGGCAACTAGGACCGCCAACTAACTCAAGCTTCAGAGTGTAGGTACAACAGAGGACATATATACTCGATTGAAATGGCCACTATCAATGCTCAAAGCCAACGTTTATGCAAAAATTCATCTGACTCTCGTCTTTAGAGTTTAAGGCAGGACGCTTCACTTAACCACCACAACTGTTGTTAACCATACCTTTTTAAACCTGTTACGGATATTGGTGCAAAGATATCAACGCAATTCAAAGCCTTTTTCGAACAAGCATGTCGACTCCAAGGGCCAACCGCCTTGGTCACGATGTTAACATACATGTTAACTTTACCAGATTTGTGTAGTGTAAAAAGACTTTGGTTTGTACACGTACATATTTCCTCCGCTTTCCGTCCTATACCAATATGAAAATATCATTAGGTTGCTAAATTGTTCACATAACCAAAAATTCTAAACCATATTTTATTTAGGTTATTGACTTGTCTCTTTACATGCGCGGCAGGCGGTTTACTTTTCCTACTCTTACTTACCCAAGCTCTACTTTTGAGTGGATGACACCAATGATCAGCGCAAACGCGGGACGCTTCTTTGTTGACTGGGTATGTAATGGCGCTCGGCTAGGTGCGGTGAGTCCAAGGAAATATACAACTCGCATCTTTGGGTTGCAGCAGATGTGGCAGCCTTATTAGTCATTATTTGCGACCAACTATTTTCTTTGAAGTTTGGCAAACCCGTCCCAACGTATCCATGCAATGTACACTGTCCTTCAATTAATTAATCTATATAATACAAACGCCATAGCCCATCCAGATGTTTAATCAAATCTACCGTACTGGCTATTACACATCTTTTATATTTGTCGTGCGTTTGGCATGCAAACCACGACCTAGCCATCATCTTCTATACGTAAATATACATCCAGCCTCGCAGTATTTTAGAGCCAAAGAAGTAAAACAATTTCTTTTACTTACAATTGCAATGCTTACTAGTTGACTGTTATATGTTCTTGTTTTAGTCCTGTTTATACAAGTGCCTACGATGCGCTCGACTTCCTGTTTGCTGGCGGAGGCATGATATCGTATTTCGCTCCCCGCTAGCTTTATCCGCCCACAACTTTTTATGACATTTCAAATATAGTCCACTGTGTACCATTTCGCTTCCATCTGCACTCCGCGCTCGATTACGCGCATTCTCACGGACTATTGACAACTAATGTTGCAGTACTCCTTAGAAACATAGGTTATTAAATACTGACTTACTACCTTTCGTCTATGGTGTAAATTTGTTTGAGTCTTTAAATAGGATGTTGACAGGGCCACGTTTAAATTAACTAAAATCAAGCTAGAGCATTGCAGCTATTGCCCGCATCAAGTCACATTCTTGAAGACATTGAGCTGAGGTGTGCCACTTGCCTTCTTCCAAATGACCATCCTAAAAGTAGCAGACTTCGCTGCCGCTTAAATTTGTGTTTTCACAGAGAGTTACTGGTGTGCAGAACATAAAAGTTCAAAAGCCGTACCAAGTGCTTGTCACCAGTAAAGACTAGGATGTCATCCTAGCTAAGCTAACTAAGTCAAATGCACGATAGCGTTCCGTGTATTTCGCTATTTGTTTAATGTAAATTACTAAATAATTAACTTCATATGCAGCTTTGTCGGACGGACCCAGTTTGCGGCGTAAACTTCGGAATAACATCATTAAGGCCAAGAACGACATTCTCGCGGTCTCAAACTTGAAGGCCCCGGTGTATAAAGCAATAGGAGTAGCTACATGCTCATTGTTCTACCAGAGCGACCTATTGGCCACGATATTTCCACGGACACTGGTTATCTCACGCCAGCACAATTTTATTTGTTATAAAATGTTACCTGACACCTCTACTTGTTCACTTGACTTGAAGAAGCTGCAGTTTGTGTAGAGAACTTGGTAAAAATACAAGTCTATGAAATTCAGCAGTGTGTTCTAACTCTCTGGAAGGTGTTTGTTTTATTTTTTTGACTGAATTCGTATGATTATTTTGCGTTGTTCATTATCCTATAAATAGATTAAATATCTCTTTCAAGCAGAGGACGTTCGTGAAGTGGGGAAGATCCTCCGCAAGGTGAAATGGCATTGGCTTTAGTTATTACAGAGTCACATCCGCTACGTCGCAGTGTTGCCAAACGGACCTTTATCGCTTTTTATAAGGAGAACGCCCGCCACGCGTAAACATAAGCTCTCCTGGAACACCGTGGCCAAGCAGTTCGCTGGAACGGGATTGACCCGAACCACCTGCTGGCACTAAGTGGAGGTTGTTAGGCCAGCCGGTCTTACATTTCTTGCATTTTATTTCATTTTGTTTACATTTGCCGCTCCGATGATTGGGCGTTAAATGCTCGACAATATAACTTAGTGTTACTTAGTTTCTTTCGTTCCTACCATGATATTTTACACACGCGTGTTTTCCTGCAAGTGCTCAAATTGCTTACTTTACTTGCAGTGCAAGTAATCAGTGTGACGCGTTTATGTTAAAGTTACGAGAATAAAGGTGAAAGCAAGTCGTTTTATTAGCGAGAACACAGAAAGGCATTAAAACATGCCGACCGCTGTGTACGAAATCCGTTATTTTGTACAATAAAGGGATCACTATTGGCTTATCTATAAAAGCTACTAAGACGACGCATCTGTCTTAGGGAACGCAAGTGCACAACACAAAATGGATGGCGCGTTGCAATCAAAATTGGCGTAAAAACGGTTCTCGACGCGCAGTCGAATGCAACAACTTGTTCAAACATCCACATCATTCAAAGTGCCTGTCAGTCCTCGGAGCTCAACAAGTACTTCCTTAGTTCACTTGCAGTTGCTGGCACGCATACGAAAGCACGACTAAGTGTGGTTTACCAAAACGCTGGCTGAACAAAATTGACTTAACTAAATAAATGTTTTATGCTCTAAAGAACAAGGCACCCAGTGTTTTGTCACAAACAGTAAGTATACAGGTACACAGTTGATATCAGAAGTGGCCGCAGCGACTTAACAAGAAAAATTTGTGCGTTGGTTCTCGTGTACTGTGCGAAGTAATGGATCGGTAAATTGGCAACCACTTTATGTGGCCATGCAACAGTTCCACGTTGAGAGTCGACGTTTCAGAAACTATATTCATGATGAACATTCGGCGCCGTATGATATTTGCCGTAGCAGGATTTGCGAAGATATAAATGTGGAACTTTAGTACAACAACTTTAGTACAACAACTCTATAAGATTGTAGCAACATTGCACAGAAGAGAAAAGTCTTGTGTGCCAATGTAGGTCACATAAAGGAAGAAATCGTACCGTGGTCGGCTTACCACACAGCAAAGAAATCCCAAAGCGCTGACTTCCAATTTAGCTGTCGTCGGTAAAGCACATCTTTCAGGCCTTTGACAAATGAGGAAGAACATTACGTTCTGGAAATCCTTCAGGATATAACGTGAAACCGGATTCATCGAAAGATTCATGAGTTTATGCATTAAGTCTACTGATCAGCACCATAATCAGTGACCTGACAAAAACAAACCGGCGTGTGAAGAGCGCAAAAACATTTTACCCGTATCGCTGTGATTTTTAAATCTTATTTAGTAGTTATTCCATATTTTTCGATGGCTATATATCTGGTACAGGGATATAGGCATACATATATCGATTACTGACAACAAAAAGCAGTTAATCTTTGCTGGGGAAATGGTGTGTGGACCTCATTACCGTGTTAGGCTCAAAGAGTGTTTCCACCCAGTATGCAGCGGACTACTGCCCTGCCACCGCCTTTTGTACGTCAAGTACGCATGATTACCTAAATTGGTAGACAGGAATACTGCTGTTGTGCATGTTGAAGGATTGTGGGTCGACTCCGTTGATGAAACGTGGCAACTATCCACATGCTTCCCAGTCTTATTCCTTTGGATTTACACTGGATATGGGGTGTGTGGGTGGTGCAACGCAAGCCACCCTTTGTAAGCGCAGGCGTCCTGTGGCTATGTCCATGGAGACCACAGTGACAAGAAAAACCTGAACCGGATGCCACCAACCGTATCGTGTGTAACGCTTTCCCATCCTTCTTATTATTGTTCCTTCTCTAAGTTATATGACAGTGAAAGACGAGTGTAAAGTACAGATGATGACAGA